AATGAAATTGTGGTTATTTAAACCTTGAACCTTTATCGAAAATTGAAATTGAAAAGTTTCTTGTTATTTCTTAAAATTCCTGTTATGCTAATCCGTTAATAGAAAAAGCTGGCAGTATGAATAACTAATTTGCAGTCCAAAAAAAAATATCAATATAAGACTTGGTGCAAACACTTACAAAACACTTTTAAAAGATTTCATATGAAAATAGTTTCTTCGATCAGTCAACTAAAACGCTCACGCTTAAATAAATGCTTTGCTGTTTCATATAATAATATATATGCCTTTTATGCATGCATTTAGTAGGTATATAAGAGTCGCCTTAAATCGCCTTTAACTTTGCTTTTATTATTCATCGATTTTTTTTTTTGTATTCAAATTTATTTTCTTGTTATTTTTTTGTGCCTATCATTGTCACTCATGTCGCTTCATTATTTGTAATTCATAATTTGCACTAGTCATTTTACAACAACAACCAAACGTATATTCTAGCAAAGGCAAAAATGAATTTTACACATTTTGTTTTTACTTAAGTGTTTATTAATTTTATTCAGTGCGAACTTCGTAGTTTAAAGCGAAGTTTAAATATCTCTCAAAACTCAAGGGCAATCAACCGTAGTTTAAGTAATTGTCTTAGACAATTTGTACGAACTCTCCTTTCATTTAGTCTATGCTCATATGAGTTGGCATTTTGCCCTGATTGAAGCTGACTCTATTATTGCCTCTATTGCGGTTACTTTACAGAAGATTCTTGCCTATCGAAAAATGAATGATTTTTTTAATTGGAAATATGTCCAAGTCAAGAAACAAAATTTTTAGATGATTATATTGATATGTTCCAACTCAACGGCAACTGAGGTGGCGAAATTCTTTAAGTCAGCATCTAGAAATTACAAAGTGCTGTAAGCTACTCGGTCGAAGTCGTTTTTACATCCGACACCTCTGGTAATGAAGGCATATTAGATTGCTGTATACGTATGCAACATCCAACATGATCGAAGTACGCGAAACCCGCCTTTTGCTATATCAATCCATCCACAATCATTTTCTAATTCGATTTCAACCTGCACATCTGTTCATTTGCCCGCCAATTAAGTTTTATTTCAACGAAATCACATGATGAAGTAGGCGGGCATAAGGATCAGCGCTAATCCTATTGAAGAAGTGGTTAAAACCATTTTTACGGCTACTCTGCACATAGGGTCACGTTTTGAAGAAGCCATTATTTAATACTTCTCCACAAAAGTCGGTGAAAATTTATGCCGCGCCATTTCTAAATCGACGCTTGTATAAGTTGTCCTGTGTTATTCCTCTCCAGAGTTCTTTACTAAAGTTAATTAACTTTAAAGCAAGTGAAAATCTGCCTAAGGGACCGAGCAGGCAAGAGTCTCGATTGGCAACCCAATGGTCGTGGGTTCAAATCTCAAGTGCGGTAGAGTTATTTAATAAAAGCCGAAAGCCTTAGGTGCTACTGCTTTAAGACCTTAATCTTAGAATTTATTCTCTGGCTAAATTTATAATAATAATAATAATATTGATAAAACAAGTAAAAACATTATAGTCAGGCTAAGCCGACTGTTCAATATCCTATATCTCATTGACTAGCACAATGCTCATTTTTGCCATAGAATTTAAAAATTATACCCTATTTTATATGAACTTACTGTTATGGACTTCTTTGCAAAGGCAGTCTTACTTTCAATAAGAATGATGTACCCAGAGTTTCATAATTCAGCACAGCATTTTTTATATCAAGGTACTATTATATGTCAATTTGCCTCACAAAATATTAAACTTTGGCCATTCTGATAATTTAAATTTTTTTTCATATAATGACTTTTTAAAACAGTACGTTATGTCGGGAGTGGTTGAAAAAATGGACCGATCCAAAATATTTTCAATAGCGTTAATGTTTGGGCTAAAGCATGTTAACGTGCCAAATTTCACCCAAATATCTCAAATATTCGAACTTGTAGCTTGAACACAATGTTACATGGACGGACATCGAACAAACCAAGATAGGCAGCCTTAGATCGGTTCAGAAAATGATTCTGAATTTACTAATATCAAAAAATGGATTTGTCTTAAGCCCTCTAGCCTTCTAGGTGTTACACACGTCTGCATAAACTTAATAACCCAGAACCGCAATAATTTTACAGTATAAGATGCTTTTATGACCGCAACTTGACCTTATTACGCCGAAGGCTAAGTGGCATATTCATTTTGTCAAAAGGTTTGCAACGAGTAGACGAAAGCTTCACAGACTCCACAATGCGTATATATTCTTGATCAGCGTCAAATTCTGAATCAATGTAAACATGTCTCCCCCGTCTGTGTAATGTCTGTTGTACACATTACCCTGAACGCAAAAATGAAGCTGTCGACTTTAAATTTAGCAAAGGCATTGCAATTTCTTGCACGCAGGTTATTGGCCAAATTGCAACAGAATAATATGCAAAATCGATCGAAGGGCACGCCTACAGTACTGCGTACTAATAACACCTGTATTTTTCAATAGCAATAAAAATTTTGGTTTTTTTGCTAATTACTCATAGATTGGCGCAGATAAGTCCACAAAACTTTGTACGTGGGGTCTTTGTACAAAACGGGGGATGATTGACCACGCCCACCATATATTACAGTATATAAAAATTTAATCTATTTTCCAATATCTTTGCACAGTAGCAAACTTCAAAGACCCCATAAATCTTGGCCCCAGATTATAAATCAAAGACCCCATAAACCTTCTAAATCAACGCCTACAAATTTGCAAAACAGTTTGGACATGACCTAAGTAGTTTAAAGCACACGCCCATAACGCCTAAACATATCTATAATCAAAATTGAGATCACCTTTGCTTTCCGTGTCAAAAACACAATATAAACTTCCACAAAATTATTCTGCAAAATTAGAACAGAACAGCCACGCACGCCCAACATTATAGGGTCTGGAAATTTATAATTTTCCTTTTTTTCAGTCTTTTGTAGGATAAGGGTGATGGGTATAAATGATTCGGTCGCAACCGAATATAATTTTCTCACTTGTTTTACCTGTTTTTTATTTATTTTTAATAAAATTTATTAACAAATATTAAGCCTTGGCCAGCAGCCACAGTAACATTAGTTGGTTAGTTAGTTGGTGGTATAAATCATACGAAAGAGTTAAAGACCATTCAAATAATCAACTTACTTTATCACTAACTATTGTAATCGTTAAATGCCCTTTTCAGAGGAATGAGGTAAATTTTCTCTTATAAGTATTTAAGGCGACATGAAAGGACCAGAAATTCAGCGGCAGCGCATTCCAGTCAGGTTCTTAGTTTTTATGAGAAAAGTTAGTTCAGAATAGTGCTTTGACATAGACCTACTAAGTACCGTAGCGTTTAACTGTTACGTACCTATGCGACATTTTTTTGCAAAGTTTTCAATTAATTTTCGCCTTGGTTTTTCGTTTATTGCGGCTGTGCTTGTGGGAAGTACAGGCTTACTAATTACAAATGATTATATCAAGTTTTAAGTATATATGGGTTGGATTCCACGCTATACCAATTTGCCTGTTAAGAAACCTTATCATATATGATCTCCAATCCGAAGGAAAGGATGGTTATTGAACAGGCCCACATCGAAACAAAATCTCATCAACAATCAAAAACAAATACGCACTGGTACCGGTGAGGCCTGCTTTTGAATATTATAAGAAAAAAGACAAATCTAACCTGACAGACGCAAGAATACTTATACAAAAAAAAATAAAAAAATTCAATTTGCAGATTCAATGTGGGTCAATGTAACCGCCAACCATCATAAGAAGAGTAAAAAAAATAGAGAGGATCTACGCTAGCTAATGTTCAATATTAAACCACTTCTAAAGTTGCGTAAATTTTGCCAAAAAGCTTATGCTACTTCATCATAAACGAGTGGAAATATCAAAATGAAAGCTCTTGTCAATTCAAATGCCTTTTGTACTAAAATGCTGTCTTATTATATCTATCGGCCCAGGTTTGTGATTCATTTTGTCCAAAAATTTAACAACGCCCAACAAGAAGAAGTCAGAGACGTCCTATAAGCAATATAAGCCCTGAATCAAAGTAGGCATGCCCGGTTATTTCATGGATATGCGTGCTAAACATTCCTCCGATCGCGAAAATTAAGATCCCGAAAGTTCTTGGCAGCGGATTGGCAAGAACTTTTCAATAGCAAGAGAAAACTTAAATTTTTACTCATTTTTTACGGACCTATAAAAAAAGAATAGTGTCGCCTTTCCCCATCCTAAATAAACTATTAAAATTTCATTTTTGTGGTTTGTTAATTTTTTTTTTTTTTTGTTTTTTCAGATGAAGACGATGAGTATAAAAAACGCGGTCATAGTCGAACAGATTTACCAAATATTATTCTACTCAGCAATATGGCAACGCAGAATTGCCATTGTTAGCTATACAACAAAACTCTTTCGAGATCTTAATATTTAAGAGAAAGCCAGGGAGCCAGAAAGAGATTGAGAAAGAGAAAGAAAGTGTAAGTAGCTGAGAGACTTTTGTGTTTAAATTAAAACTCACTGCGTTTTGCTGCATACTGCGTCAGCTGTTATTTGTTGACTAATGGAAAAATAATACGTTACGTAATCAAAACTGTGAAAAGCATTATTAGTAAAGTTAAAATGAACCTTTCATTTTGCAATATATATATATACATACAGAGAGTAAAGAAAACATTTGTATTTCATTGATATTACACTAGGACTACTTTGTAATAATTGAACAAGTTGCTGACGAATATATATCAAAAAGTCCTAGAAAAGTTTAAAATTTAATGCCAAACCCTAGTTGTTTACGTTTAGAAATATTAAATAAATAGAGTTTCTGTGGCAATATTAATGTTTTCCAATTTATTACTTATATACATGTGTTGTTTACTCATAGATATATGTAACGCGCTACGCTACGAAATCACTAACTATATCTTAGCAGCTTGCTGTGCTAAGTGAGAAAAACATACTACTAGAATTAATCTAATAGTCAGTTTGTGCGCGAAAGTGATGTCGAATAGTTTAGTTTAGTGTTAAGCGAGCGTTCGCATAGCGCTGAATATTAAATAAATTGAGAAAATCAAAATAAAAAAATCTTGAAACAAGAAACTTTATTGTGGTTAATAATAAAGTCGATTGAGGACATAATATTAGCAATAATAAAAAAAAATCAATCAGCTAAACAAGATTATTTGGAGTGTATATCTAATCTAAAGGTGAAAAATCATGTAAAAGAAGTGTTTTTTATTCATTTTAGGAATAATTTTTATAAATAAAATTTTCTTCTTAAAGATATAAAAGTGAAGTTAACAACAAACAATTCGTTATAATTCAACAAAGAGATAAACAATATAATCATTTCTAGATATTGGATATTTATACTCTTTTTCTACGTATCTCTCCTTCTCCCTCTCCCTCTCTCTCACTCTCTGTGTGCCACATATAAATATACAAATATTGGTATGAGCGTGTGTCTGTATGATTGAAAATCGTATATAAATTTATCGCATTTTTGCTTTGCATGTCAATTGTTGTTTATATTTTTTTTATTCTATATGTATTCTGGGCCAACACAATCAACAAGTGGTTGTTTAAAATTACGCGCAGAGACACAGGCACAGACACAGGCGCAAACACAAATACACCCACTCATGTAAGCGTATAGCGTCTTTCAATTGTGTTTTCATTGTGATATAATTATGTTTATATATAAGAGATATTTAGTATTGTTGTTCCTAGTATTGTTGTTGTGATTGTGTCGTATATCTCATGTTTTATAGAAGATGTGGTGTGACATCCATGATCAAAGTACAAGCGATGCAAAGAAAGCAAATAAATAAATAAATTGGGGAAAAAGCCCGCGCCGGTAATTCATCCAATTTAACAATTTTCTTTACACAATCTATCTCTACGTAGAGGAATTAATTACATAAATAATACTACTCATAAGACGGTAAGATATCCGGAAATAAAGGTCTATTGATACAGTCGACCTATTTGCAGCACGAGTACACTGCAGAGTCTTTCATTTTCGTTTGTGCATCTTCATGTTGAAGCGAAGTAAATGTTTATACATAGTCTTTTGTCGTCGTAACATAAAAAAAAAAAGTGAAAACCGCTCGTTACTATTCCGAAGTACTCCCAATTTTTTTTTGCACGGTCTTTTTTTACACGATTTTGAAATAAAACGGTTCACCAATTCCTTTTTTTTACACGAAGTTTTTCTTCAAGCAAGAATAGAAAGAAAAAACATTGTTTTTTAGTTCTAATTTTGACAGCGTCTCATAGAATCTCATGTATACACCAGCCAATTGTAATTGAGGGAATGCTGTGAACAGAAATTACACACGTGTGAGGATAAACCGCATGACACGTGTTAGTTAGAGTTGAGAGATTGTTTTTTATTCCTAATTTTAATTTAGATTTTTGCACTCATGGACTGAATTTTCTTTGCTTTATAAAACGTAGTGTGGATTTCATTATTATTTTTTTTTACACGCTTTTTCGGCAAAATATTTAAAGATTTTCATTTCATACAATTTTTTTAAGTGGTGAAGCATATCCACAACTTTCCCCTAAGTTGCATACAATTTTTACACGTATTTTTTTGCACGGATTTGTAAGGAAAAAAAGAGTTGAGTGTAATTGATATTAAGCAGAACAAGTATAGTAAAGATTTTCAACACTCACAAATAGACATCAGAATGTCTCGTTTGTATTTGAATCCTAGACTTGCTAGAATTTTCGTGTGCCTAACGACCGCAACATCGGAATTTTGTATAAGAGACCATCGATAAAATAATAGGCCAGCGATTTTTTCCTCAGGATGGTGTTGATGCCTGCACACCGGGCAATATTCGCTCACCTGATACTCCCAAACAAACGTGTGCTTAAAAAGTGACTTTTCAGCTCACAGTTTTTGTGCAGACAATTTACTAATTCTTTGCTCGCGCGAACAATTATATTGATTTGAAAATGAGTGAATTTACTATAAAAAGAAAACAAACAGGGTATAAAAAAAAGAAAAATTTTGTGGAGTGGACGGTGAGAATGCTGTGAGTAAACGAAGTACCCAGGAGTGGTTTGCTCGATTCCGTTCCGGATATTTCGATATCAAAGGTGTATCTCGCAGTTACTGAAAGAATCGATAACATTTTGCAACTGGTCGAGCAAGACCGGCACGCAAGCTGTCAGGAAATACCGGAGGCATTAAACATCGACCACAGGACAGTTTGGAATCATTTCAAATGGCCTCAGATGGCAAAAAGAAGCTCGAAACCGCGGAAAAGATCACGAGTACTTTTCAATACGACCTAATGTTTAATTATAATTTATAAAGAACCCTACTTGCTTCAATACAAAGCAAGGGATGGTGAATATATAGAGAAAAATTCTTTCCGAGTTAACTTTCCATCTTTTCATAGATCTCTCTTTTGCCCGAGCTACAAAATAGATTAATAATACAGGCATAAATCCTGTTTGTATTTGTTTGCTTTTGCCTTTAAGCGCACACCATATTTATTATAGTAATCAAAGTACTAATGACCAACGTCTGACGTGAGCGAAAACAGTCTTAAATTACCTTAATTAGATAATAACCTTCACATTGAATATTGTATGACGTGACCGCAACCCTTGCCAATATAAGCAACAGTATAAAATTCATTGGAATCCACGAAAAAATTATTTCGATTATGCGTTGTTTCGCTATCGTACAATGTAAAAATTTACGCATTTTGAATTTCTAATTACATTATATATAATCAAAAGTCGCTATCGCCCTTCAAAGTTGTACCATTGAAGGCCCCGCACTAAGGTAATGATTTTCCTTTTTTTTTGTAAATCGCTACTTTGTCTTACTTGTTTTTTTTTCTATTGTATTGTTCTGTACGCACGCACACACACATACACACACACACGCACAAACAATTCATTGTTTAAAAACCCAAAATTATTGTATCGTTTTCTATTAATGATAACTAAAAGCCAAACAAACAAAGTAAGTTATGTTCGCCTTAGATCAACTCTTTCTCGGTACAACCTAATCAATTAATTTGTAAATATTTTATTAAATGGACTTGCGTATATTAGGCAATCGAGTCCAAACCTTTTCAACTGATTTGAGGAAATATTTTTACAAAATTTAAAACCAACATCTCTTAAAGGCTATAAGTTTGTTTTATGTCTATTAAGCGTATGTCCTTTTTGGAGGATCGAGTTGTGATCATTATTTAGGTGTTTTTAGTTTAAATTTTAATTTTCATTATTTGCAGTAGACAATAGCCAAGCGAACTTGTTCACATTGCAAGGCCGGTCAAGAATCAAAGATCCCCCGACCAGCGTGTTACAAACGAGCAAACGAATTTAATTTATTCCCATGAATTGCTAGTGATTAAAATAGTTTTTTTTTTTTTTTAGCACAAAGCTGGCTAACCTTACAACTTCTTTGGAACATGATATTGTTGCTTACGATAACAGACACACTAATAGCTTAAATTCCTTATCTAGCGTTGCTTGCCTAGCAATATAAGCATGATTGGATTTGATTAATGAGAAATACGTTTCTTTACTTTTATATAAAAGAATGTATTTTTCAATTTAATTCTTATCTCTTGAATGAAATGGCAGCAGCATCTAAACGTGTACCCTAGTTTTAAAAATAGCCAAAGGTCAGGCGAACGGGGCCGGTTGGAGGAACGATATGAGTTAAATAGATGGTGAAGAACCAATGGAGAGCGAAAAAGATCAAGTCGTGTGTAACGGAAATTCTAGCAAATAGCGTCAAATGATGCTTAGCGCTTCAATAATATTCTCTTATTATTGGTTTGGCTCGTGAAATGCAATCATAGTGCGCTACGCTATGATACTCGAAGTAAAATTACCCTTGCTATTGTTCGATCATAGCGTAGCCCACAAACATCCGAAGCAAATATCTGAAGTAACGCCCTGTGAAAAAGAAAATAAGTAGCAATAATAAATACATTGTCAAGTCATGTGTTGTGTTGTTACCTGTGCTGCCTATATTGCGACCTAAGAGATCTATTATACATAGCGTTAGGTGCTATGTACCCAAAGTTTGTCTGATGATAAATTTAAAAATATCTACCGCCGGGAGACACATCGTAAACTCGATCATCGTCTCTATGTTTGTTTGTCATCTATCGCTAAGGCACTCGCGACTACGTACAAGTATTACAACAAAATACAGCAAACTCGGCAAATAGATAGAACAGAGATAGTATTTAATTAATGACCAAAGATCGAAATTGAAAGCAAGTAAATTCAGTCCAAAGATATTCGCTTAAAAAAAAGATAACTGTAAACTAAAATAATCTTCTTCAAGGCAAATAAAATATTTACAAATGCCATTTGAAAAGTCGGTGGAACGATGATCTCATCTTGCGCAGCATCACGCTACGCCCTCAATCAACAAAATGCTCGACAATTGTTATGTTTTGGTTTAAAGCCGTTAGTATATAAAATTCGCTCGAAGTCGAATATGTCTTTCTTTCCTTCATTTTTTTGTGTTTTATCGCTTTGGTTTTATACCCTACACCAATTGTGATTCAGTTTATGCGGACGTATCTAGCATCGAGAAGGCCTTAAGATCGATTCAGAAAATTATTCTGCGATAAGGCAGTCTCCCCGCCCTTCCGTCTGATGTTTGTCCATGTAAATTTGCGTTCCATCTAAAGGTCGTAATATTTTAGATATTTTAATACACAATAATACACAATTTTTATCGACCCAAAAATGAACGCTATTGAAAACAATTTGCATCGGCCTACGCAAAGCCTTGTTTTGGAAAGTCGTTGTGTGGAAACAAATAGCAATTTTGTAAAATTTTCTAACAAAATTGGCTCTGTAATAGTATTTCGCTATTCTACATTGGTATGCAAGGGTTGGTTCGGCTCTGGCAATTTTTTGAACCTACTCTCATACAACCGTTCTTGCGAAAATTGAATCTTAGTAATTTTCAGAACTTCATGGTGAAAATTGGTTCATAATCGATCGACAAATAAATTGACCTTCTAAATTTGGGCTGGCTAGGTCTATTTTTTGGATACCAAAGCATATCAGGAAATGATGAAGGCTTGACATAAAAATTGAGGGGATCTCACATGGGTTTATTTTTTGGACCACACGCCATATACGATTTGTCAGAAAAAGGTTTCATTTTCAATATTTTACGATGAAAGTTAGTTGATAGTAGTAACTTAACCACAAAGGTTAGTAGTGCGGGTCGCACTGATCTATTTATGAGACGCTAACAATTGTGTATGAAGGTTATCATGCAAAACAAGGCCTTACAAGAAGGATATAGTTCTGTACGACGAAAAATGGAAAATTAATAAAATTTTTGGAAAGTAAAAGAAAAGATGTTTTGAACGTCTTCCAATATGCGGGCCTTGATCAAAAGTACCCTTTGCATGAAAATAACATATAATTTTTGATGTAGTATCACTAAAACGGGCGAACAATTCGTCTAGGGTATTGAATGTGTCGGCCGTGCCCAACTAAAATGTTCTTACGCTTTTTATCTATCTTTACGTTGATTGTCTTTAGATTGTATGCGTTGCCTAATGAAATATTGTAACATCTGGATTATTCAGCTTTTTATTTATTGTTTGTCAATCGCAATCCAATTGTAGTGATTGCCTAAGTGATTGCGGTGATTATACCTTCTTTGTGTATCGGTTACATACATATATGATTTGCAAATCATTTTAAATGCATGAATAAATATTAATTTTTACATATGAATATTTATAGTCATCACAACAAAATAAGTGTATATCGGACTGGTTCGCCTTCTTCTAACATTCAGAAAAGCATAGCTCATAGATCTCATAAATTGTATAAGTTTTTGTCAGCGTAGGATTTTGAATCAATTAAGCTCAGGCTGCGTGCTTGTTATATGCTTGCTGTTTAGACGCTTATCTCCGTAATATAATAATTTTCAACTTCGAATCATGTTCGAAAAGAATGTTATGTGCGGCAATTTTTTGTCTTTCCATATAATTGGAAGAGGAAATGTATCGCTGAATCGCGACACGATAGAAATGGGCGTAACAACCAAAATCCAAAAGCCCTTGACATGGAAAACTTTTGACGTCGCGGCGATAGTCTGGATAACTTTGACGTTTCCATTTGGGTGGATCAGCCGCGTAAGCTACATTCTACTGTGGACTTTTCAACGAATTCAACGAAGTCAGCGCCGTGAAATGCTATCCAAAAATAGTGACGCAAATGAGCGTCACTTGGTATCCTTTTATTCCACTGACGCATGTGCTCAACATTTATCGGTTATTGTTTGTCCAAACGCAATTCAATTCTTCCGACAATAACTAAAAATGTTCATTGTAGATAGCATAAAAAGATCAGTTTCCGGTCCGTTAGAAAATTTGGATTCTATCAGAAAAGAGCTAACAATTTTACTACAAAATCTTTTAAACTTCAAAAACTAAGTAAAATTATATTCGGTGGAGGACGAACCTCGCATACCTACCACTATGGTTTTCGCTTTTTACTCTCCAAGTTCTTTTATTTGATATCCATATCGCCAATACTATTAAGAAAAAATTGAACGCTCAGATCGCGGTGTCCATCATATTCATTTTGGAACTAACCCTTTTTTAGGCAGATAATATACCTTCATTTGAGGAATGTACAAACTCGTTTCCCACATTTTCTTCTTCTTGAAAAAAAATAAAATTTAATCACTTGTAGCTTTGTGCGGCCAAGGCGCCTCCGTCCGTTAATGGTGGGTATAATAATTATATTCTCAATACATATAAAGTCTTGTAGCAAGCATTTAAACAACGACACGAATATATTTTATATAGGGACGTAAACGGCTTACACGCCAATCTACAATGAACAAAAATCGTTACCTTGAAAAGTACAAGACTACTTAAAGAGCTAGTTTCGACAGAGCAAATCATGCGTCGACACGTTTCCATTCTTTTTCCAGATGCTGGGGATAACAGGAATTCGATCTAAGCCGAATATTGTTTTTGAAATCGAATGTTGACCTTTCAATTAACATAGTTAATTAAATAATTAATTAATTTTATAAAAAGTAAAGCAATAGTAACGAATACTAAGAATAACATCATAGTTCATTTCTATTCCAACGGGGTCATACTTATGTAAGAAGAAAGACGTTGAAACGCTTGCTTTCTTATTGGAACGAGATAAGGAAAATAAAATTTGATTATGTCTCTTACAGTATTCTACTTTCTTTTATTGCTATATATGAACATTGTCTTTACCGGTCAGTACATGTCAAGCAAGGTTTAACGAAGAAACCATCGTAAATTTAACTGGCAAAACGTAGCTTTTTTTGTGGTCTTAATGGATAATTAAAGACTTCTAAAATATGCGGAGAAAACGGATCACTTGAGGGAAGTTTTTTTTGTTGTTGAAATTTTCAGCTTTTCTCCAATTGCTTGGAAAAGACTTCCGTATGAAATGGATCTCTATTGGTAAGTTAATGTCTTACCAGATGATTCCTAACTTTCCTAATAAACCAACGGACGTCTATGGAAAGCGTTTATTGCATTTATTTCATATACACGACATTCCACGTATGTGCTTTTTTATACCCATCACCCAAGATGAGGGGCATATTTGTGCTGTAAGAACATTTGTTACGTCCAGAAGGAAGCTTCAGAGGCACTATAAAGTACACATATGCTTGATTAGTATCGAATTCTGAATCGATTTATGCATATCCATCTGTCTACCAATGTAACTACTCTCCTGGCGGCAAAAATGGGGTCATCAATGTTCCAATTTGACAAAAACATTGCAAGTTCTTGAACTGAAAACGGGCCAAATCGGTCGAAGGGCCGATCGGGAAATTTGGGTTCCGCTCATTATTCATGAACTGGGACAAATAAATCTATAAAAATTTTAACGTATATTCTATGGGCGATTCTGTACTACTTGTAATTGACCACGCCTACTGAATATTATAGTGTATCAAACTTTAAATCTTTTTCAATACCTTGAAAACACGCAGACGAAATCTTTAAAAACCCCACAATATGTACGAATTCTTGGCTCTTTCCAAATTCGGAATGCACCTAAGCAAATCCATCTGTTCGCCTGCCCGTCTGCCTAACTGCATAGTATCTGCGGTAAGCATTCCCGGGCTCGCGAAAATGAAGATATCGCTTAGAGACTTCCAAGAGAATTTGAAAATGACTCAAATCGGTCAAAGGGCACGCCTAGAACACCTGCACGTCTACGCGACAAAAACTGTAAACACTTTTCTCTTTCGTGCTTTTTTCTTCTTATCACAAAAATTTCTCCTTTAATTTGGAGCACAGAAAAAATCATCCGCCCCCATCCAATGTTACAGAGTATGAAAATTTAGTTTTTTCCTTGTTTTATATCTTTTTTGAGATCACGTTTGTGGATATAAAAGATTCGGTCACGAGCGAATATAATTTTCTTGCTTGCCTTTTTCAATGTTTAGTTTCCAACAATTCTTACTCAATCCATTAATAAGAAGACTTGACAAAATGTTTCATGTTATCTTATGGTATTTTACAAATAGATCGCACTCGGGGTATTGGAATAGCGAAGGAGCATTACGAGATATGAAGCTGGGAGCAATTCGGAAGTTTTCAATGCCCTTATCAAAAAATTAATGGCTTGGGATGAAGTTTTTGATATTAATAATCAATTCGGCTGTAAAGTTATACAATTCTTTTTAGCATTTTCGAAAGATAGAAAGTGTAAAACTTGATTTCTGTCCTTGAAAGATAAATCAAAAGCAGCTAATTCTAAAACCAAACAAAATTTCGGAAATAAACCTGTTTTTAAGCTGTTACTATGTATTACTGTTGCTGTGCGACCAATGTATAACGCAATCCACATAAACTACGACAAAAGCACAATTAGAGCAATTTATATACATACAGGAGAGTTCATCAAAAAATTCGCGTAACTATTAACTTAGTTCATACTTTTTACATATACCTGCACAACGTCTTCTAACGTTAATTAAAAACACAAGTTAGAATATTATAGTCGGGCAACGCTGACCTTTACATACTCTACATCACATCGCCTAGTACAGTTATACGCTCGTTTTGTTAATAATACACAAAAAAGTACACATTATTCTCATGCAAAGCCATAATTTTCATGAAAGTCTATTGAATTATATTGAAAGGTTAGATTTTCTCTTCATATAAGAGTTTGGGTTTCGTGATAGCGCCAATGTAAAGTGGGATTCAAAAAAATAGATCTACGTAAACGAAAATTTCCTACAATTAATTTTTTTTTGCTGAAACGCCCCTACGAACTATTAAGATATCGTCAGATATCTTAGAAGAAGGAGAAGAAATAGTGGTTCAAATTACGCCCACTTAATTTTTATACCCAACACGGTATACGAGGTTATTGCGGACGTGTGTAATATGCAGAAGGGCTTAAAATAGACCCAGCTTTTATAACATCGGTTGATTCAGAATTATAATCTGAATTGGTCTAAGCCTGTATATCCATTTGTCCATCTGATGTCTGTCCATGTCAGTTTATGTTCAAAGCAGCAATTTTTAGGATATATTGATGAAATTTGGTTCGGGTCGGTCCACTTTTTCGACCGCCCCCCATATAACACCCTCTTCTGAACAATCGTTATATAGAAAAAAAAATTGCAGTTTTTAAAAGTTTTCGGCACAACTGACTAAGTAGTAGCGTTTCGGCATTCTAAATTGGTATGAAAACTTTGGACCAGCCGTGGCAATCTTTGAAGATAACGAAAAAAATTGAAGTTCATACGACAAAAAGATATAATTTTCATTGCTTCATGATGAAAATGATATCGTGATATAGTGATTTAATATAAAAAATTAATTATACAAGATTTGGAGCATCTCGGCGTATTTTTTGGATAGTAACCTAATAAGGTCCCTTGGTCTAAGTTTTAATGTGATGATGACATTTATAGTAATTATAGTAATTTCTACGCATATTTTTGGATCCTACCCTATGTAAGGATTAAATTTGCAATACATTAGGTTGCGTTTTGGACCCGTTTTCCTATAAATACGCACATGAAGGGTATGCCTTTTTATAGAAAGAAGATATAATTTTTGTGTTCTTTAATGGTCGGCCTTGCTCGACTATAATGTTCTTACTTGTTTCAAAAAAAATAAATAAAAGAGCTGCACAAGCACATAAAGAAAAATCTGTGCTATGTATGGAACTGATTCTGTAGTAAAACGCAACGAAATTTACGAAATTTTTTCCTGGAACTTATATAAAAGAAAAAATGCATTTTATTTCATTGTGAAAAACCTCAAGTAACATTCAGTCTGCCTAATAAAATGTGTCGAGTATTTAATAATATAAAAATAATAATATTAAGAAGCAATGACGTCCGAACTTTAAAAAGGAAATGTTGCCGCGCTAGGTTAAGTTGAAACAGATATTTATCAATCCTCTTAAAATTCTCTTCCAGTCTTCCTCACAGAATTGCGATCAGATTTCAATAATGAGTATATTGCTGGAGTTAAATTTTAAACAGAAAAATGCCACACGACTTTTTACGGCAATTGGCGGATTCTCCGCCTATTTGTTGATCAAAGATAGTACGAAATTAAGTATGGCCCTAGGAGCGATTATGGCATTAATGTTACGAAATCCTACTATAGTTTACGTCCTCTTCATCACTATACCACGCGATATAATGTAAGTGGGAAGCACAGTACAGAATATAAAAAAAAAGAAGAAAACTACATTTGCTTTTATTCTCTCTCCTTAGAGCTGCATATCGTTTCTTGAAATTGAATATTTTTCTTTACTATATGGAATACAAAAAGTGGTCTATGGCGCGGATATTTCAAGAAAAATACCGAAGCATGCCGAATAAATGCTGTTTCGTAATGGACGAGCGTAAACTTACCTTTCAGGAGGTAGAAGAGTTTAGCAATAAGGTGGGCACGTATTTTTTGGACAAAGGATTTCGTCGCGGTGATTGCGTGGCCTTATTTATGGAAACGCGTCCAGAATATGTGGGCTTATGGTTGGGTCTATCGAAAATTGGCATTATAACGGCCTTAATTAATTCAAATCAACGACGAGAAACCCTAAGACATTCAATTGAAGCAGCTAAAGCGAAAGCTATTATAGTGGGGACAGAGCTAGCGCCGATCTTGAAGGATGTTTGGCAAAATGAGGATTTAAAATGGTTATCGATCTTTCAATTTAGCGATGAAGAGCAAAGAGATAATGATAATTTTGATTTAATAAAGGGTAAGAGCAAAGCAAAATATTTTTTGAAAATGAAATTTCAAAATTTCAAAAATCTCTTCTCAGAAGCCGTTGATTTAACCGCTGATTTGAAACAACAGATACCTCAAAATTTACAAGTTTATATAGAACAATGTAAACCGAAGGATACACTATTATACGTCTATACCTCAGGCACTACTGGTTTACCTAAGGCAGCTGTCATTACTAACTTAAGGTTCGAAATGAATTTTTTTTTTTCCAATTTCCTTAATAGATATTTATGATCACTTTCAGATATCTGTTTATAGCGGCAGCAACTCATTACATGGTGGCCGTTAGGCCAAATGATATTGTTTACAATGCTTTGCCTTTATATCATACCGCTGGCGGTATAATAGGAGTGGGTAACGCTTTGATTTTTGGCTGTACCGTAGCATTACGTAAAAAATTCTCAGCTTCTAACTTTTGGAAAGATTGTATAAAATACAAAGCCACTGTAGCTCAATATATAGGCGAATTGTGCCGGTATTTATTGACCACGCCTAGGAAACCTGAAGATACTTTGCATAACCTAAGGTTAATGTACGGCAACGGTTTGAGGCCACAAATTTGGTCACAGTTTACAACGCGTTTTAACATACCCAACATAGGAGAATTGTACGGTTCCACCGAGGGCAATTCCAATTTAGGTGAGCTGTAAATCAGGTTCACATTACAAAAATTTAAAACTCAAAGTTTATTAATCTAACAGCCAATGTTGCCAATCAAGTGGGCGCTGTTGGTTTTATACCCATTATAGCTCGCACTTTGTATCCGGTACAGGTAATACGTGTAGATGAAGAATCAGGCGAACCCATACGTAATCATAATGGCCTTTGCGAACGTTGTGCAGCCGGTGAAACCGGATTGCTGGTGGGTAAGGTCGATCCACGGCGAGCTGTTACATCTTTTCACGGTTACTCCGATCAAAAGGCTTCGGAAAAGAAATTGTTACGCAATGTTTTTAAAAAGGGCGACGTCTATTTTAATTCAGGCGACTTGATCGTGGTAGACATTTTGGGGTATTTCTATTTCAAAGATCGGACAGGCGATACATTTCGTTGGCGTGGTGAAAATGTGTCTACACAAGAAGTCGAAGCAATTATAACCAATGTTATAGGCCTACAAGATTGTGTTGTATATGGAGTGGAGGTAAGGCTGTTTCCTATATATATAACGCTAATATCTTTATCTAAATTAAGACTATTCTGTTTTAGATTCCTCATGTCGAAGGCAAAGCTGGAATGGCCGCAATTGAGGATCCTGAACATAAAGTAGACTTAAATCATTTATCTGTAGGTATACGTGGTAGTTTGCCGTCTTACGCTCAACCTTTGTTCATACGATTGATGGCAGAAATTCCTCGCACAGGCACTTTTAAAATGAAGAAACGTGAATTAATGCTACAAAGTTTTAATATACATAAAATCTCTGATCCTTTATATTATCTGAACAAAGATGGTGTCTACAGACCCTTAAGCGAGGAACAATACCTACAACTGTTGGATGGTAAAGCGGGTCTCTAATGTTTACATTTACGTTGATAGATGCATTTGTTATTTTTAAGTGAAACTCCATTGTTTTTAGGCTATAAAGCATTCTCTTACATCCAATGCATAATTTTTATCTATTTATTGTTTACGTTTTTCATCTTTTATTTTTTATTTTTTTTAATTTTTTCATAATTGCCATAGCTTTCATTTCTTGGTAACAGTAGTAGCTAATAATAGTATATAGTTAGCTTGTTTGATAATCATTGATGAAATCTAATGATAACATACAGTATGTATTTAATAGCGGGAATAGTTTAAAACAAAATGATGTAAAAATAAAACAGAAGAGATTTAAATTTGAAAAGGGAAGTGCATTACCCAAAACTTTACCTGAAAATTAAACGCAGAAAGAGCAATAATTTAAAAGTTGTTCATTTCCTTCAAAAGGCAAGCAAATTTCAAAATGACGCCAACATTGCTAAAATTTATCTTAAGTAATGTTAATACCATCGGATTTTAAATTCATCCATCAATACGTACAATAACGACATTCATTCAAATTTTATGTACATTGGTTATTTGAATTAATTTGTTTTATTTCGAAAAAGGTAAAATCTGACGTAAAAGTTACAGGTCAAATTTTAAAGTACGTACCTACAGTAAAGAAAAAAGATAGCAAGTGATTTAAAAGTTAACACAGGTGTTTCACATATCTCTGCGAAAACGCAGTACAAAACTGGTCAAGATTAGGTGATTGATGATAATCCACAATTGTGCACTAAGCTATTTGGAATTTTGAAGAAAAAACTCATTTGTTATTTAATATCTGATGGAAAACAAATTTATCTTTTACCCCTTGCTAGTTTCTATACTAATCGTTAGAGTATAAATGAAAGTTTAATTGACCTGGAACGTGAAGTTGTTTAAGCTTAGTTGAAAATTAAACAACAAGTTGCTACAAAACAGTCTACATGCATCAAACTGTCCATAAAGGATGTGTTTGATTAGCAACTTGGAATACTTTACATCTTAGAATATCTGTTTTCTTTCCTTTCTTTTCGCAAATAGCTGTATACTCTTTGATATTTTGGAGAACAAACACTCACGCACTACTACACTGCAGACTAAACTTCTTTCGCATAATATTTATTTAGAAAGTAAATAAATCGCTTGCATAAATTTCCTTTCAAAAACATCTAAATCAAGCAACTCCACTTCATAGACCAACAATCTGCAAAAGTAGCGATTTAATAGAGAAAAAGAACAGCATTACCATTAAATTGCTCTGCGCAACAGCAAAGAGAAACAAAATCATATTTTATTAATCTCTCAATGTAGAAAGAGAGCAAACAAATATGTAAATATGAACAGCTGGGCGTCATGTTATTATGATGTTTAAGAAACAAAATTGAATTTACTTGTTAAAAATTTTATAAGTCAATAAAAAAAAATTTACAACAAAACATGGAGAAGTTAGAAGTTTTGAAAATGTCTTCAATGCGTCCACGCACTAATATATTAGACAGGCCTTTATCGAAAGGCAAGTCGGAAGTATCGCACGCAATTGTAGCTTTGCTATTTAGTGAAGTCGTGCAATATTGTCAATCGCGTGTTTATACAGTTCCCGAATTGCAAAACAGGTGCGAGATGATACATACATATTTTAAGAGTGAAATTTATCGTGTCTTGTAAACAGATTACATGAGCTTGGCCAAAAAACAAAAAGAAATAAGTGCAAAGTTCCATCGGGCTGGTTAAACCAATACCGCCCAAGTGTGTGGTAATCTAGGCCAAATATATTGTAATTTTTCATAAAACCATCACCCACCCACCCAAATTCCTAATACTGTGTTGTTTTTGTAAAAAATTACAAATGTTTGGGCTGAAAAGTTAACGCATTGATTAAGAAAATTTGAAATTGTTTTTGTTTCGCTTAAGCTGTTCAGGTTTCTTTCTTTATTTTTATGTATGTATGTTAGTTTTTGTGTAATTATGTTAGTATCGCTTTTTTTTTTAATTTACAATAATTGTTAAACTTTATCTCTGTTTAAGCATAGATTACACGTCATGGGCCAAGATCTTGGTACCCGTATTATTGATTTGCATTTTATGCGTGAGCGCAGCTTAAAACGTGAAACCAAACTTACGCAAATGTTATTGTTTGTCAAGACCACAGTCTGGAAGAACTTATTTGGTAAAGAGGCTGAAAAGTTAGAGCATGCCAACGATGATGAACGCACTTATTACATTATTGAAAAGCAACCATTGGTTAATACATTTATAAGCGTGCCAAAGGATAAAGGTTCATTGAACTGCGCGAATTTTACCGCCGGCATAGTGGAAGCAGTTCTTACTCACTGTGGCTTCGTAAGTTTTGAAGTCAATTATTTTAAATATTAAATAAGGAATAACGCATTTTTATAGCCTTGCAAGGTAACTGCCCATTGGCATAAGGGGACTACATATATGGTCAAATTTGAAGATTTTGTTATAGCCCGCGACAAGCAATTGGAAGATAAATAAATAACACAACTTTTCCAATAATGAATGAAATCTTCGACTTTTATTAACCTAGCACTTGTTCGGTTATCTCAAAAGCTGCTTAAATAAATTTGAAATTGCGGTCCTTATAAGCAACTTCACCGTTTCGATATTTTGTTTCACGACAGCTACGTTCTGCTTTCATTGCCTAAAAAAATGTAAACAATGATCGGTTATGATTAAGGTTGGAGGTTTATTTATTCATTATAACCGAGAGTATATTCAAGATATACTCACCCAGCCGTATAAAACAATGGGTAAAATTACTAAACCAAATCCCCAACGGAAAGCATGGCCTGTAGGTCGAAAATGTTCGTAATGGCTGACCGTCATAGCTTGATGACGAGCCAAACCAGTATCGAACTAAAAATTGAAAAAAAAAAACAAGACATTATTTTTGTAAACAGATGACATAACAAGCTTTGCACAACTTACCACATAGCCACCTTCTCCTAAAGCATGACGATACGGGTTAGTGGATTGTTTTATGAACTCATTGCGCAATTTTAAGGTCATTTCATGTTTACGGAGTAAAACTTCTTTTTCAGCTTTAGATAAATCAGGCATTTTGTTTTCAAATTTCTAATAATGTACGGCCGTATTTTCTTTTTTGCTTTGAGATTACTGACGTTCACATCATATGGTTCAATAAAGAGCAAATAAATAAAATGCCTGATAAGGCAGTGCAACAAATTGGCAATGCTGTACTTTTGTACCATTAAGAGAAACAACGGTGATGCCAACTGAAAATTTTTCAAATGTTGACTGCAAACAAAATTCAAAATGCTTATGGCAAAAATGTTAAAATGTAAAAGTTTTCGAAAATAATATAAATTTAATTATTAATATGAACAATAAAGTACAGCTTTTTCCGAAATAACTGGGCAAAGATGTTTTTAAATTGTTTACGTTTCTGAGTAATTAGGAGAAATAATTTTAATTTTAATGTTAATCTTTCTAAAAGTGCGAATTCTATGAATTTGTCTTTGTAAACTATAAGTAAATAAGCCAACACGGTCGTCTAGGTATTATTATTGAAAACGAAAATGAAGGCGGTATCTAAGATTTATAGTTTAGATTTATAGTTTATCCATTTTTGAGAGCATTTGTTGGTAACAACTTTTATGTCAACAAAATAGAACGTCAATAAATTCCGGTAACGAAAGCTATTTATTTATAGTTTCTTTTGCTTTTTTTTTTGGGAACTATATTGTGATCTTAGAGTTAACGATTCATTTCTTGCACTTCCGAAACACCTCTTCATATCTTTTACTTTCATGTCTAAAAATTACAAACACCGTTGTTGTTATATTTTAAACAACCGATGCGTAGGTTTGATGCATCTTCAAGTCTTCATAGTTCTTCGATTATCAGTTGAGATGTAAATAAGCTCAAACTGATACCAGTCGAGCTTCTCTCTGATTTCCTGCTAAAGCACTTGTTTATTCACTTATTTTGTTGGTCGATTGGATCTCTACCCATCTTGCGATTCAGAAAAATTATACTTAAACTTTTATAGCAGGATCGTATGTACGGTGAAGATTTAATTATTTTAATACAATTTTTGAAAGAGTTAAGTGCGTTTACCTTATACACATTAGCAAAAGGAAATAAATCCCTGCCAGAATTACTTGCCAAAATCAAATTCTCGCATTCTCTTTATTGATAATTAAATAATATATGGTTTTTTATTTTTGATAGCAAATAGTTGGCGTAATTTTATAATACTATATTAATATTATAATAACCCTAGAAGTATGCAATAGTTTTTATGTATATATAAAAACAAAACTAATAAAAGAAGCAGCAAAAAAAGAAGATATAGTTTCTGAGCTTAACTTTGCAAAATCTACATATATATATATATACATACATATATTGTTGAGCAATAACAGCTGCTACAACGAAATATCGACAGCGCAAAAAGTAAACATACAAAGTTGTAGATACATGAGAGCAGAGGATATAAAAATGGTACTGATATACTAACAAATAATAAACAAGAAAAAAAAGAAAAAAATTAACTGTATATCAGCACATAAAATGGTATGTGTGTGTATGCGTGTGAATGTGTGTGTGAATATGTAAGTGAAGTGCTACAATAAGCATATAAAAACATATGCATAAAAGTGTGTACTGTGCATTGTGCACCCGATGTTTTTTGGTTACTTGCAATGATTTAATCTCATTGGAAGGAGTACAGCAGATGTGCACCAACATCACCACCACTATTGCAATGACACTCTTGTTATTACCCTCAGATGCCATTGTTGATGAGAATATCAATGCCAATGGCGTAATTTTAGTGCCACCACAGAGCTTACAAATTATTGGGAAAAGTGTATTTTTTTTTTAATTTGTCACTTATGGTGTAATATATAAAAAGAAAGGACAACCTCGTTTAACAAGAAAAATGTCCAGAATTTTTTTAAGAAGACATAAACAGACAAGTGACCTCAAAACCAATCCATGAATATATGCAAACACTTACATACAATGTAGATTAAAGGTAACTCTTAGCACTATTCGAACTGGTGTAGAAGATTATTGAATATAATCTACATGCTTGAGCAAAGAGGTTTTATCCATATTATATGTACAAGCTCGATTGCTCGTGAATTTCGATATTAGATTATTTAGTTTTGGTACACGTGGATTTACTATTAATTACAATCCATGACTCTATGATGTTAACGTATTCATGCCTTTTGCTATAACCTGCACGCCAGAAGAGTGATACCAGCTGGTTTAGTAATTCTGATATTCGGATATGAAGCCCGGACATCACAGTCTCGTAAGCCATGGATTCGATACCAGTTTGTCTACCGCTGTACAATGAGACGTTCTTAAGTAACATTAAATTTCTAAAACACTGCCTCGCAAATGCCCGAACGGGCCATGGTTCCACACTGCGATTAGAGGGAGGTCTGAGTTCGGTTGAAAAGAAGTATACGTAACTCCGATATCTATTTTAAAGTCATTTATCGCAATGAACGGTTGGTACTACTACTACTACTACTACTACTACTGCTACTACTGGTACTGATAATACTAATCCTACCACTGTTACTATTGTCATTACTGTCATTACTATTGTAACTATTACTATCACTGCTACTGTTACTTTCAATTGTATGAATTTATATGTTAGTTACACTATTTCTTTATGTAAAGGGGAAGAAGTTTTATTTGAAGGATATATCCAACCAGAACACTTTCTTACAATAACTATAATTCATTTTCTTATAAGGGCTATGGTTGTTTTTTTCTGTTGCGTTTTTTAAGTGTTGCAGTAATTTTAAGTTGTTTTCTTTTTTATCCTTATTTTATTCTTCATTTTTTACTGTATAACTGAACTTAAAACCACGCTGTCAAAACACAATAAATGTTGATCCTTTTATATATTGCTTTGAAACAAATGGAAGCAACAATTGAGAAACTATATTCACTTCCAACAACACTATTGTGCAAAACATAAAATGAATATATATAAAAGGATGTAAAAATTCAGAGCACACAACACAAACATAAACAATAAACCATAAAGTATTGATATGGAAGCACTTTAAACCGATAATGGATGCCAATAGATATTTTCTTTGCTAATAACGTTTGTAAAACGTGCTGTGTTGCGCTGTGCTACGCTGTAGAAAAGGATGATAAACAAGAGGAGAGACCACCAAAACAAAATTTTTTTATATATTTTCTCAACTATACAAGGCTATTACTATTACCATCGCAACAGTAAACAATACTATAAAAGATAGATAGAAGACAAGGAAGACGCAGAAGGTGCAACAAGAGAAATCACAACATTAACAAAAGCTTTTTTCTCACCAACAAACAGCTGCGCGCGTAAAAAGAAAAATGTTGTCTCGTTATCGAAAAAAATGCGAGACTTTCTTTCTTCCTTTTTTTCTTTCTTTTTCATTATTTTTCCTCGTAGATCAAGTTTAATGGTTGCATGCATGCTCGCTTAAAGCTATACATGTTTGGTTGCAACTCGATCCAAGGATTTTTCTTTAAGTGTTTAGAAATGTTTATTGAAATGTAAAAGCCTGATAATAACGAGAGAAAGCGTGCTTATCTATTGTACACTATATGTTTCCTTAAGTAAGTGGGCCAAGCAAGCAAGAACAGCGTTCCAGTTGCTACTACTCCTTTCGCTCCATGCTATACTTTTGTACTCGCCATTGCTTTGCACGCTCACCTCACACGTACTACTCATACGCTCGCAAGCGCTTCGTTAACGACTTTTTCATTAGAACTGGCTATTTTTTCTTCGTCGGTCCTCTCTTCCTATCTCTTAATTATTCTTCCGTCCGTCACTCCTCATTCAATACTTTCTGCCCTTACTCCAATTTTCTGTTCACGGCTCATCCTTTTCCGATTTCTTATTCACTATGGTGAGGTTCGCTTTACAAGTGAAGTCGGTCGATGTAAACGTAGTTAAAATCTTTTTAAATTCTATTAATGCTACCACTTCTAGTTCAGGGAAAGCTAATGCTCAACGGGCGATGGTTTAAGTATTCTACAATGTTGCTTGGGTTTTATATAAAAACAATTAACTCGAAGCAAGGTTGTTCTGAGCATAAGTAATGTACACTATTATTGGTAACAATAGTCTTTAAGTTTGGTGTGGCACAGCGATTTTTAAGAACCTTTAAGAACATTTTTGACAACACTGTTTGAGCGACATTTTTGGAATAAACAATTCTCGGTACTCTTTCTTTCTTTTGTTGCTTCTTAGTTAACCAGGGGATGTACCCTGCATGCGCAGGCGCGCTGATGGTCAGAAAAGTTTACAGCTAGAGGAGCATGTTCTAGAGAGCGTTTAAACGTGCAAATAAAATTATAGAGAAATTATCATAGCCTTATCAACTACATAAAATATCCTGCGCTAACAGCCTACTTAAGATTTATTTAAGTATAATTTCGAACTTTTCTTCAAATTTAATTTGAACTTCTTTATTTAATATTCTTTCAACGCTCACTCTCTACCTCTCTAAGTATTAGTTTCTCACATGCTTTTAATCTTTCACATTCAAAATGGACATTCTCTCTCGGCTTCCATGTGCAACGTGTGATTAATGATTTCAAGCCTATCACTAAGCTTCAATCAAGATTTTCTTAAATCACATCAAAGAAACACATAGACGGACAGACATGACTTGATCAATTCAGAATTTCACACTAATCAAGAATACATATTGTATAAGGTCTCTGAAGCTTCTCT